TTAGAAGTCATTTTTAAGTCTTGGAGATAATAGCTGTTGTCTTCATTAGTATATTTTGCAAGGCGTGGATTGGATAGGCTGGATCACGTGGTATTCCTGGGATGAAATATGTCCCATTAGCTGTGGAGTGAATCATTGATGTGTTTACTTGGCTCAGATTGTTTTGCCGACCATCCAGGTATACATAAGCTTAGTTTCTCTCAAGAATTATTCATTAAAATACAAGATTGTTCCAAAAGTTCGTAAACACTTGCAAAAATTGAAATACCAATATTATTCGCAGTTATGTATAATGTCTTTGTATTATATATAAAGTAATTGTATTATGTATTATATTATGTATTCGCCGTAATAATATTATTCGCCAAGTAATAAGAAAAACATCGTTTTTAAGAAAAACAAGAACTTTTGGGATAAATTTATAGTCTAAAGATTCGGTGGGTAGAACCCTTGAGTACGAGTTGTTTTGAAGTTTCAGCTCCACTTCAAAATGGAAAAGTTATTTGGTGTTTTGACAAATGTAAAACGTCAAGATATTTTAAAACCTTTATTACATTATAGCCCTACTAGTCTGTAAAACTCTATGTATATATGATAGCAAATCATTCATTATTTTATTAACAGAGTATCATTTTTTTATGTTTATATTTTTCTACTTTGTAAACTTCTCTCATTGCTTCTCTTTTGTTTATCTTTCCTAGTTTGTTCTTGTCTCAAATAAATTTCTAGGTCATCCTGAAGCTTGTCTTTCCTAATTTTCCACGTGGCATTTTGGTGGAGCTGCTGGGTAAATTAGGGAAGACAAACTGAAGATCGCCGAGAAGACCTACAGGACATGGATGCTGTGATCTAAATTTTCGGAGACTAGCTCCAGGATTCCACCGCCGTGTCAAAGCCAAGACTTCCCTCCAAGATGACGATGTCCCTATAGACGACGATACGACGACAAAGCCGCTCTTCACGCCGCAAGAAAAAGGACGCAAAGGTACTAGGGACAAAGTTTCAAGATTTAGACAGAATCCTTGGTAGAAGCACGTCAGATCCATGTCAGTAACTACAATAATTGCAAGCTGTGGTTCACAGCTCCCATAGGGAAGGAGCTATGTAACAAAGTATTTATTATTTTATCAACAGAGTATCATTTTTTTTTTTATATTTTGCTACTCGGTAAACCTCTCTCATTGCTTATCTTTTGTTTATCATCATAGTTTGTTCTTGCCTTAAATAAATTGCTGTGTCATACTGAAGTTTTTGACTTTCCCAAATTTACACGTAGCAATATTTTTGCATCATGTTTAATGCGTCACTCCATTTACTCAAAATAATCTCTGATATTTTAAATTAATATATGAAATCAATAGTAACAGATTATATACCATAGTATTATTCCTTTGTAACATTGTTATTGTGGATGGCTTTTCTTAATTTATCAAGAAATTGGATTGGCCAAATATCAGGGAACAGGCTAAATCAATGTTTAGTTGATTTCTCCACCTGATGGCGCTCTGCCTTCTGAAAAGCACATGTGCTCCTGGTCAGGATATGCCTTTTTTATTTTTAACATTTTTATTGTTTATATATTTATTATTTGTTTTGAAGAAAGAGGAGTTGCGCGAAGACTGAAGTTTACCAACTACGATAAAGACAACAAATAGATAAACACAATAACTTTGCCTATGGCCATACCACATTGAAAACATCGGTTCTCGTCCGATCACCGAAGTTAAGCAATGTCGGGCCTGGTCAGTACTTGGGAGGGTGACCACCTGGGAACACCGGGTGCTCTAAGCTATTACCTTTTTCTCCCCAGGCCCCTCCAACAGTGCTTTGTATATATTCCGCTTTATACGTCCATCGGGGCTCAAAAATCATTCATTCTGGTTAGCAGCCCCGTAAATAAAGATATATTTGATTTATTTGATTTAAGTATGGAAAACCGCTCGGGAAACATGTATATCACCAAGAAGGAAGAAATCATGGTCGATGAACTTGAAGAACTCTGGTATGACAATATGCAAAATTGACGCTATAACTAAGAATCCACTCTATATTGTCGCCTATTCTATATACAGTTACGAGCGTCATGCGTTCTTCATCTCTGTCACCGTTTGCTTTTTTTTTTTTTGGAATGGCGCTCTCCTATTGGTTCGCTACGATGGCGCCGCCACTGCGCGAGACACTTGGTTTTTGACTTTGCCCCCCACTCGCTTATTGGTTTTTGTAACTATTGTGTTGGAACGGGTCGCTCCTTAAATAAATGCATATATTAGTTAATAACTAAATGGAATCCTCTCTTTCATTTTCCCAGTAAGAGACGCCTAAGGAAGCCAACAGTACATAGACAGATAAAGCACATAGGCTATAGTTATTAACTAATATATGCATTTATTTAAGGCGCCAATTTATAATTGTAACAAATAGTATTTGAATAAAAAAATTCAATCGGGTAAAACACGGGCGTTAATGATCCAACAGGTCCACGTGTCTAAATTAAAACACGGGCGTTGCCCGGGTCATTCGGCTAGTATAACATAATCATCCAATACAGTATTATTTATGGGGGTCGGTGGAAGGATGGTCTAAACCGTTAGTTTTCGACCGCTACGACCCGGGTCCGATTCCCGCATTGGGCACTTTTTTTCTGATAAAAAAATGCTCCAATGGCCGCCGATTCTTGCAAAAGTCCAACCCCACCAGCGAGTGCAAGTAACCAAAACGGGGCTCTGGCCCATTTGTAAGCGCAAAGTCGAATGTGGTGCACTTACAGTAAAAGCAGTCGCCTACTTCTACCCACCATGATTATCATGGACTGTACCACGTGTACTAGGGATAAGCAATATATATATATGGCAATATAGTGGTAATAATGTGGTGAGGAGAGAAATAATCACACGACGAGTTGGTAGAGCAATAACCCAGGCAGCCAGCCGAGAGAGAGAGAGGGAGCGAGGTTCTATGCGCTGAACGGCCGTTTGTCGTGTGTGGTCATCCCCCGGCTATCTGTCCCCAGGTGTTGACGGGCGGGCCCCTTTTGCCCCCCCCCCCCCCTTTGGAATGTCGTGATGTCTAAAGTGTCTCGCTTTAGCTGCCCATCTCTCTCTCGTTGACTGTAGGTTTGTTTTATTAATCCTGGAAGAGCATATATTATGACATATATATATATATAGTATTATTTTCAAAGACTATTTATTATCGAATGTAGGCGCTATATCAGGCTTATAAGCAGGCAAAAGACAGAGAAGAACTTTTTCCTATCTGAAAGATAATACAAATGAGAGGTTAAAAGATTGGCAAGTTTTAAACCTAAAGTTAAGCCATCAACACAATTTATGGAATTTCTGGAACAACATCCTTCTATTTATGAAAATTCGAAACTATTATAGACGCGTATGATTCTTTTAAAAATAGAACAATCTCTGCTGCCCTTACTGGAATGGAAAAATTAATGGGAGGGTCTGGCTCATCGGTGGTAAAACCTCCCAGCGGTTTCGCCAGTTTAATCAAATAACCAGGCTCTCCCATTAATTTTTCCATTGCAGTAAGGGCAGTAGAAATTGTTTTATTTTTAAAAGAATCATACGTGTCTATAATAGTTTCGAATTTAGATAACAGATGGCGCGTTAATGCATCATAATCCTTCTATTTGCCACCACAATTCTCTAAATCAATATTCACCACAGAGTTATAAATTCATTGAAAATTTCCAGTTTGCTGTCAGTGGAGTTGACAGGGAGGACCCACTTTGGTGACAGCTTCACTCATCTATTTATGCCCACTGTCCACTGCATGCAAATTGTGGCCCGCATGGCTCGAGCAATAGTGAGATAAATCCACCACGTCTTAGTTACATATTGTTAAATTAGATAAAATTGCTATAAAGGTTTTATAATAATTACAATACACCTATCCCCCGATTTACACGGTACTTGTTTTACACGTTTTCGCTTTTACACGGTATTCCAAATAAGTTTTTTTTATCGCACTATACTAAAATGCGATATTCTACTCTATACTACCTATGTTGAAAAGAATATTGGGAGGCTCTGATTCACGAGGGGGCGAACACCTATTCAGATTTGACAATTTAATATACATGTGGCAATATCGTTGCGGGGTTTCTTGTTGTTGGATGCGAATGGTGAGATTTGATTGAAGCGCAGTCGTTGAGTGGTAAGTGAAGCACACAGTTAGGAATAATCAGGACACATGATGAGGTTTGAAAATAAAAGGCAACTGGATTGGAGGGAAGAAGGTTTGAGAAGGAGCGGGTTTGATTGTTCCTTATCTGATCACATGGCGGTGATTGACATAGCTATGAGCTGAGCTGAGAGAGAGATCTCTAGAACAGATGTTACCTTGGTGGGAGCAAGTCGAAGGCTGATCCGAACTCGGTGGGAGCCCAGTCGCTACTGCAGGTGTTGTTCCTATGAGAGCGAAAACCTAACTGACCATCCTTGCCTTTCGATTTAACACCAAGACTCCGTTTCTCTATGATTGGTCGAGAGATGTCACATGATCTTTTTCCCTATTGGTTGACCTATTTAGATGCTATCTTTTGATTGGCCCGCGGCTTTCCTTGATGAAAGCTGTGGTCTGCTTGATAGGAAGTGTCGAGTGCTATTTTGACTTTATTTACTTCCGTGTTATCAAATACGTCCTATCTTGGGTCGGAAGTATGGGGTGTCTCTATACTAATATAACTTCTGTGGATATTGGATACGTCCTGTCTTTGCCGGAAATATTGGGTGTTAGCTTTAACATTTATAACTTCTGGTCACTAGAGACGTCCGGTTTCTGCCCCTGCAATATTGACATAGGGGTGCCCAGAATAGTCGTGCCAGCTTTAGGTCTACTTCCTATATCTTAATGCTACTTGCTTCCCTCCAGTTACCTTGTTCTTTATTAAGTCTTCGAAAATCATACATGGTACATACATAGTGGGTCGGGGTTGCATTTAATTATATACAAATTATGACATACACCTATCCCTCGATTTTCACGTTTTTCTCAGGAACGTATCTACCGTGTAAATCGGGGGATAGGTGTATTTTATTATCTCTAATACATATGATACAAGCCATAATAATCATGGTGAGGGGTAGTAAGCGACTGTTTTTACTGTAAATGCACCACATGTCTACACTAGTTTCTTTTTCACAACAATCATATTCTATTTGGATTGTTATAAAATGAAAGTGAATTCTATACAGTGGACCCTCGGTTTGCGAGCATAATCCGTTCCAGAGCCATGCTCGTACTCCAAAACGCTCGTAGTGCGAAACTAATATCTTATTTTTAATAATTGAAACTCGGACAATTCTTCTTGCTACGAACAATTGCACAGTTTCCCACATTTTACATATTTCCCGAATCTGATCTGAAGGGAGGGATCCCAGTGAATTTTCATCCATCACGATTACGGGCAACCATCACGAGTTGCTCGTAATGCGAAATTTCACTCGTAATCCGAGGTAAAATTTTTCAAAAAATTTTGCTCGTACTGCGAAAAGCTCGTACTCCAAGGTGCTCGTAAACCGAGGGTCCACTGTATGTATCTATGAAACAAACCTTGTCTTCTTATTCAAGCCATTCACCCTTTAAAACAAAGGTCGAGATGAGGTATAAACCGTCTATTATATCTACAATTACGACCCAGGATTGAATCCCGCATTAGATACTTTTCTTTTTAATAAAATGAATGCTTCAATGACCCCTATTATTCCTAAAGTCCAACCCCACCAGTGAGTGCAAGTAGAAAAACGTAACTCTGACATACACTCATGAACAATACTTAAAGAAGTTGTACCTTTTAGCATGTATATATTTTTAAAATATTCATTATAATATTTTATATTTTATTTTCAAAGATGAACGTTCAAATTTACATATATGGGTAAAATCTGCCGTTATATAAACAAATAAGGAGTGGTTTATGCTTAAAATAGGAAACTTAAGTTCTGTCCATGAGTCTTCTTGTATGTGCAAAAGTCGAAATGCTTTCTACATGCGTAAACAAGTGGTGTACTTACAGTAAATGCAATCTCTAATTACCCACTATGATAATCTTGGGCCTGTACCATGTGTACTTGGGATAATAATAAATTCTTTAAAGCATGCAATGACAGCTGTCAACGTAACAATGGCATACAACAAAAAGAGAAAAAGAATAAGCAGATAGAGTTAAGATTCCATGTAACTTATCTCAAGACATAAACCTGAATACACCAAGGAAGTTTGTCAAAGGAAGCCGCTCCTATAATGAGATGTCACGTCTAAAATTTCACTCAACTTTCTTCCGTTTCACGGACAAAAGAAATGTCACCAACCGAAACTTCGATTTCTCCGCCATTACTTTAAATATTCAGATCCTGGCGAAATTTGACTGAGGGCCATAAATAGCGGTCTCTTTTTCTCCCTCTTTTTCCAATCCTAATTGAAAGTATTTTCTTTGAAAAAAAAAAAAACTTTTAGATTTGGTAAATAGAGAGGTCTGCAAAATGAAAATGTTTAAGTCAATTTTTAATAGTGGAAACATTTCAGACGATATTATTAAGTTAAGAATTGTTTTTAGTAAAATAATAGTTTTTCTCGGTATATAGAATTCAAGTGGAAACATACGATGTTATCAAAATTCGAAACTATTATAGACACGTATGGTTCTTTTTAAAAATAAAACTCTTTTTACTGCCTTTACTGCAATGGAAAAATTAATGGTAGGGTTCACCACTAATGAGTCAGGCCCTCCCATTAATTTTTCTATTGCAGTAAGGACAGTAGAAATTGTTTATTTT